TTCGCCGCTGGTTTCTCGTCTGCTCCTGCCTCTGGCGTACGGGCGTCATCTTCCGAGGGGCCCCGGCAATGCTTTCAAAACGTACCAAGCTAGGGCTGCTGCTGCATCGCAAAAACAATGCTCGCCAATCTATGCAATACATATTGCATGCACGCGCCTGCACGGGACCGGGGGGCGTTAGATGATACATCGATGAACACTGCAAACAACAACATTCTGGAGCTCTGTATATACATTCTTGCTTGTTCCAGTGTTTCTTATCGACGGATTCATTCCTTACCCCCAACAACAGAACAAACACCTGCTAACAACCGACAAAACGTAACACACCGCCGTGTCGTACAACACCAACCACGAAGTGAAACCGTATGCATTTGTGTGTAAGCATACATGCGGACTATTGTTTTCGGTGGGGGTTCTGACTGACGACTCACATCTGCGGCTTATTTCTGCTCGGGGGGTGTAGGCCCCTCCCCGTCGGGACGATCTCCAACCCGACACCGTTGTCCTTGCAGAACTCAATGATTTGCTGGGAGTGGTGGCGCACGAACACACGGGAGGGGGCATGCACACGCAACGCGCGCACCAACGTCGGAGGAAACAAAGGAGCGCCGTTCAAGCGGGCGGCGGGAAGGCGAAGAACATAAAAACAGCGGGGGGATGAACATGAGGGGGTTGTGCGAGGCCGCCCATGGTTCAATCAGCCCGCATGTTTGCTCGAGGAGAGCTTACAGTTTCGAGTTCTTGCTGGCTATGGTTTGGGTCTCTTGCCCTGGTATTCATTGCGCATTTCGCGATTGCTGCCAGCTGCTGCGCGCGATCGTAAAAGGCGAAACATGCCTGCAACGACAGCATCAAGGCACAAACTGCTGTCTTGCGAAGTGCTACAGCAGCACCACTATCGCTAGCCAGCGCCATCGCGGCGAGCCGCTCACCGACATCGGGAGCTCAGTCGGCCTTCCCAAGGGCAGGTCCTCGGCCCTCAGCATCAGCGCGTACCTCGCCGCCTCCGGCTTATCTTGCCAAGCGCGCAAGACGTTTCGTCCCTGCGCGCCCAATCAATACGGTACCAGGAACACACCGCATACATAAAACATGCGGAACGGCCCTTGTCGTGCCATGATGGAAAACGTCCGTCCGTCCACGCGTCATCACCCGCAGGCAACAACAGCTATCGCACACGCATCGTACGCGGAGATACGAATGTTCTCGAATCGTGTGGTGACGCGTTGCTCGTCGGTGTTAATGGTAGCTCTTGCGTGGAGCGAAAAAAACGTCTGAACGGAGAAGAGCACCAGCGGTCCATCTGTCACTCCTGCCACGAGTTTCTCGTGTTCGAGGCGGTTGGCGTGTGTGCGATCTACCGGCTGGGCACCTGTTGGCTCTTCCTCAAGCACCACGTCTTGCCGTCCCAATCTTTATATCCAATCCAACGCATACATCCATCCGTCCATGCATACCTGGACGAAGAGAGTGTACACTCCCTCTTCTGGCTCCCCCTGGTTAAAAACAACAACGTAGGCCTTCAAAAGCTTCTTGCGCAGCACCTTCGTATCGACGAGTCAATTGACGAGTCATAAATGGAGCCAAGGGGGGCACGACACAACAGCGGGCGGGGCTCTTCTGTTTCGCTCTCTCAAAAGTTCGCGGGGTCAAGTTTTGCGAGCGTTGGCTTTTGCCTGCTTTGGACACGTTCTACAGTAAATTCAAGTTGTAAGCGGTGGCACGAGGCATGCACTTTTTCCGACTTCCGACTTTCGAGACAAGAAAGAGTACATGTCCACTGCTTCATGGGCACACACTGGCAAAAAGGAAAAACGACAGATACATAGACACACGCCACCCCGGTGCAAGGTGGTGCTATGAGTGAAGTGGTGCAGTCAAGCGGTGTGATGTGCGGGTCGATGTCATGCACTGGTCATGGCCACACGCTCGGCTGGTTATGTACTACTGTAAGTGTACCGTAAGGATGCGGGTCTCCGCACAGGGGTGTTGGAGATTTTCAAAGCTTCACCACTCGACAACTAGGAAGGCAACACCGCCGAAAAGGGCGGTTTTGGAATTATCTCATCCAAGGGGGTCTTTCCTTGGAAGAGTTTGTTTACGGTAAGTGATTTCCTGCGACTACCGCACTGCTGTTGTGTACATAGAAAAGAGAACCAGTCACAGGGTTGGCATCGATGATTCACATAGCGCGGAGTAGAAAACCGAGGGGGTACACTTGGTGGGAAGAAAGAGAGGAAGGGTTCGATGCAATGGTCTGTGGTACGCATGTAGGGACACATGCAGACGGGATGCACACACGCACCGCACCGCGCGAAGAGAACGAGCGAGCCTGCATCATCTTTGGTTCATGTGTGCGCGTGCATGTGGTTGAACCCCGAAAAAACGGCGCATGTGCTGGCTTTCCGCCGCATCTCAAGCCCCCCGCTATCCCTTGCGACGCACACCGAGGCCAGCAGCGGATTCTCACCATCTGTTCCTCCATGAAGGCCTCCCCTTCTTCCAGGCCCCGAGAATACCCAGCACTGGCCGCGTCGGCTGCTGGTGGTGGCCTTGACGAGGCAGCCGGTCCCCCTGTTTCTCGCTCTTCCGCTTCTCTCCTCCTGCTGAGCTCCCGTTCCAAATCGTTGAAGGAAAAGTCACCGCTGCCGCTGCTGCTGTGGGCAGACGACGGCCTCGAGAAGGAAGACCAGTGTTGCCGGGGGCCGGCGGTGGCCGACGACCGGAAGAACGCAGCAGCAGGTGGAGGGGTGAACGCATGCAAGGGCAGCAGCAACATCTGCACGACGCAGCAGCAGCAGTAGGAGAGGATGAAGAGGGCTCGCATGATGATGATGGGAACCAGCAGCGGCAACCACTTGCTCGTTTGTCGCCCAGCCGGCCGGATTCCAAGCAAGTAGTGGGTACCTATCTCACTTATCCCCAGGAAACCGCGTCTAGAGTAGGTATGGATGGTGCGCCAAAACGGAGGCAAAAGACTCGAGCTATTGCTGTTATTAGAGCCAGGGGGGGGGGGCAAGCAAGAAGCAACGCCTGAGCGTAAGGCGCGGGGGTCCGCGGATGAAACTTATGCTATCTACGCAATCTACGATCGACGAGATGGCTTGCTGTCGGCGGATGCATTCTGCTGTCAGTCTAAGCGTGGGAGGCGCGTAGTGCTCACGCGCTCGCACTACTCCAACAGGCTGGGTTCTTCGCAACTAGTTGATACGACGGGACGCGAAGCTGGGCATCTGGCGAAGCTGGGCGCTGTACTCGGGTGTGCTCAAAACACCGGGTCACCTCTTCCCCATCTATCATCACTCTCGGCGGAGACCGACGGGCTTATCTTGTTGTACAAAATCGGGAACGGACGCTAGATCGGAGAGGCCATGGCTGACACCATGACCACCGCGCTGTACATCATCGTGCTGGCTGCCTGGTTTTTTCTCATGTGCGTCATTCTGCGATGCTGCTCGGACGGGGAGCCCCAGACCCTTTTTTTCGACCTGGACCCAGAGATGAACCTGGCCGTCGCTGAGTCTCACCGGAAGCCTTCTGTGACCGCCGTCGTCGATGGGGAACCGGTGAGCGAGTGGTTGGCTCGCGTCTACCCGTGATACCTCGCTTGGCTCAGAGCGAGTTGGCTACGCGTCTAAGTTGTCTACTGCTGGTCGACTACGACTGCTGCTGTTGTAGTTATTACCTCGGAACCGGTCGAACTTTTCGTAATTCATTCGGATACTACAGTACGGACGTGCGTGTGCATGCACGAATACGCACCACAAGAGTTTGCAACATGGTCAAAAGACGCGAAGCGTGCATGGTACGCATATGCATCACACCCATCGTCGTGAAGCTAGGGGTGCATATACACGGTACACCTAAAAGTATATCAAGCCTGCATATTTCAAGACAAAATGATACGGCGGCGGCATGCTATCCAATACCCCCAATTTTTTTCCTAAAACCTTCGTGTGCCTTCTCATGTCTTGATCAACCAGCACGCACACCGACAGGACCCCCTACACCGACAGGTCCCCCTGAACCATTCAACAGGCAAAACTGCTGTCGGCAGTTTGCAATCATATGCATACTTTACCGTAGGAATTCAAGCAAGTGAGTTGCTCCTGTATCTGCGTTCTTGCTTCCCCTTCAACCTGCGCCCGCTCAGTGCGGCAGCGCTTCCACTGCACACCAAGGCGTGATGATAGAACGGAACAGAAAAGGACACAAGGGGGCTGGTAGACCCCAATAGACCTGTACTTCGAAGTATCACTGACTACCCAGACTATGTGACGTAATGGTTCGAGGCTGTCCACAGCAGGGTACGTGTTGCTATTTTTTTCTACAAACAGCTGTGAGATTTGAGCCGTAACTGCTGGTCATCGGGCTATTTGAATCTGCGTAACTGCCATCTTAATACTTCTCATGTGCCAGGCACCAATTACTCTTGCATATCTATGCATCGGTGTGTTTATCGCAGCGACCCCTCGGCGATTGATTCCCGTAGGTGCGGGGTGCTCACCCCGTGGCCCTTTCGTGCCCTCTTGGGGGCATCTGGTAGCTTTTGCTTACGTACAGCTGCTGTGTGTTTTGTACGCGATCGAACGACCCGGAGTTGCCCGCGGCGAAATGGCGCGCGCGACGGGCGGAAAAGTGGAATATACCGTTACCGGTCCTTCAGCGATATGATTCGAAATTCCGGTCGAGGGTGTATGCGACGGAGTCTACGTTCATTGGAGAACAAATAAAAACAGGCTCACAGACAAATACGATGTGTATTCCCCGCCGAAAATACCATGGCTCTCTCTCATCTCTCACCGCAACGGAATAGCACCCTCCCTCTCTCTCGTCGGGTGTGCGTAGTCTCGTTTCTAGGAAGGAATGGGGGCCCGATACAGAGGCAGACACAAGAGGGGCTCTCACCCGTAGTTGGCAAGTATCGATGTATTCCCGCCTACGTATGTGATCGGTCGTTCGCTGGAAAGTGTCGGGGGGTGTTAAAATCTACGATTGACGAGCAGAGCAGCGCGAGCAATACAGCTGGTTTTGGTCCTTCGGCGCATCCGACGTGATATATAATAACTTGTTTTGAAATATTTTGAAACATCTCCCATTGCACCCCACAGGCGAGGTTTGCGAGGGTGCAAGTCTTGGGCGCCGCCGCCACTGCCGAAGAAGGAAAAGGAGGCACGCGGCACGAGGACCTGACGCTTGACGGCCTCGAGATCCCGGCCGTCACGGGCCGGACCGCGGCGGCGGGCGACGACCTGCCGGCCGCGCAAGAGGTCTGGTCACCCATCCTGGCCCTGCGAACATTCGTCGAGCCGCTCACCTCGAGGGCCTCGGCGGCCTTCCGAAATTTCCACGTCTCGTTTTTCGATGGCCAGGAGGAAGTAGGGGGAGTCGTGACAGGGGGTGCGAGCGGAGACGGTGGGATGGCGGCGAGGGCGGAGGAAGAACGGTCTTCGGTGGCTGGTACGGCGAGCGGCGGCGGCGGCGCGGCCGCACCCGAAGCGGTAAGGGTGGCTTCCGCGGAACGGTGCTGGCCGGCGGTACCGGGGGGGATAGAATTTGCGGACGTGTCGAACGAGCACGAAAGAGCGGCGGCAGCGGAAAGAGAAAGGGCGGCAGGAGAAGGAGAAGAGGAGGTGAAAGTCGCGGACACGGGGGAGATGTCCTCGGACGGCGACCTGCAAGATAGTCATCGGGTTGCGGTCTGATCGATCATTCGGAACCCCGCGTGAGCGTATTATAGTTTATTTTCTTTATTGTTATTGCCGCCGAGGAATTGTCGACACGGCTGTGAAGTTGCTCATTTTTTTTGTGTATAAGGCCCGTTGGTTGGTGCTTATTTGCCACACTCCACGTTTATGACAATGGAGACGGTACGACCGAGACTCCGTGGCAAGTCTGATAAACTCGTTGGCGTATTATTCCTCCCAGGTACTTGCGCTCCCGTGCCACCTGTACACAAATATTGCGCACGCGTACGTACCATTGGACACTTTTGCCCACTTCTTCTTCACCTAGCTCCATTTTAGAAACCATTATGGAGCTTAGATTCACAAATGAATGCTCCTTTAGGTGGCGCTCGCTGGCTCTTCACCCGGCCGACGCTGCTCGTATGTGTTTGTGTATCTCCGAGTGACCCCTGCAGTCTGTCTTGCAACTGCGGCGTTGCTGCCCGTTTACGAGGCTGGCAGGCCGCGCCTGGACCTCGATCGTGAGAGATGGGCTGACCGCTGTTGTTGTCGCCGATTTCTTCTCGCCGTTGTTGTGACATCTCACACATCACTCAAAGTTGTAGAACCGAACCGAATGTCCAAAGCTTTGCGGTCGTGGACGCTGTGCTGCTCAGACAGGACGACACCCTGCTGCTCAGAGCGACAAAGCACATCGATGCGCGCTCCGAAATGTACTGTATCCATTGATGTTTGTTTGTATCTTGAGGCTGATTTGTTTGAGATTTGGCGATGGGAGCCATGTGTTGTTCAGAAGATGGAAGTTAATGGGGTAGCGAGTGGCGAGAGGAGCTCGTGTGTTTGTTTTTTCGTCTCACGTATTCTGGGCTCCAGCCTACACCTTTCGGAATAGCTTTTGGAGCACCAGCCGGGGTCACGCAAGAGGAATTTCCTCGCCGTTCCTCCTGCGGCGCTTGGCTCCAATACTTAACACGAGAGCGTGCCGTGAAACATGAGTAGTATAGTTACCCCTGTCTCGATGGCTTGCGTCGAGAGAGAAAGTGGTCTTGCTTTGTTGTGGGTGGTCGGTGCCTGTTTCTTCTGTGTTTTTCTGTGTAAATTTGTCAATTTCAGACAAGCGTGGTATGTATGTGTTGATTGTGTATAGAGTGGGGAAGGGGGTACCCTCTTGTCGAGGCAAGTAGCACGCTGCTTGCGGTATGTATGGGGAGAGTTGTAGCTGTCGCGGGGACACGTGTATCATACTTGACAAGTGCCACCAAAGCTGACGGCCGAGGCCGTACCATCTAGAACCAATGAGACAAAGGGACGGTGGTAAGAACAGCAGTGGCAGTCGCACTGTGGTGGGTTATCAGACCCGCTTCTCCCTTGCAATGAAGCGCGTGGGGGGGGGGTGTTGTTGCCTACCACTGCCAGCCTGCCGTATGCACAAGAGACAGTGGTTGATGCATAGCGTTGGGTCGGTAGCACTGTTGCGCGAAACGGCGTAGTGGCGATGTTGGCAATGGGTCCGTGCTTGCGTCCGTCCGTCTCCACAGCTTACCACAAAGTGAGCCAGTGTCTGGCTGACCCACCGATAAGATCGTCGTGGTGTGGTGTTGCTTGTGCGTGTGTGAATATTATGACAACATGGTGTTGGTTGTGTAGAGGTACAGTTCGTCGTCGTGCAAGCAATTTTTTTGGGTCCTCTCCAAAACTGTCCCATGTTCGTCTCTATATCCTTGGTTTACTACGGTAGCTATTTCTTTACTACTCTCTCAAGTGCAGGGTATGCATTGTAATGTCGAATCTCAATTGATTTCAAGGTTGTTTTGCTTGAGACGTCGGGCGGTCGATACTGATACACGGGCCTCCCCCGAACTCGGGCATGTGCGGGTTACCAAGCGTTGCTTTGGTGGTTTGGGGTATGTATGGCATCGCGGCCCTGGTGACGTCACCGCCGGCTAAGGATTTTGCCCAGGACCCTACAGTATTAAGTTTTCGACGGCACCAAGTTTTTCTAGCTGGAAAACGACGGCCTGTGGCATCCCCTCTCCCTTTCTTTCACCGTCTGTTTTTGATGGAGGGACCTTTGGAATTTGGTTGTGTTGATGATGACAAGGCTGTTACAAGCGATTCGCTAGCACCCCACTCGAATCACCACCGATAACCATCGGGCAGGTTCCAGAACGGCGGGTGGGTTGCCGAATGGAGTTCATCATGCATTTGTTTTCTCTTTGTTCTTTCGTTTGACCGTGAAAGAACCGGGGGCCGAGAACGCACGTGCCTACCACTATCCTGCGTTAGTGTTCCGCCGGTTAAGACGACCTTGCATCCCCCCGCGTAGTGTTAGGGTAACATCTGTAACCGTTGCACGGTTGTGGCACATGTATGTATATGTTCGCTTCCTACTTTGCCGTGAGAGTACCGAGCAAGCGCTTGAGTAACATGTATTTGTTTTTAACGAAGTGCGACTGAAATTTTTCGATGAAGGCAAGGGACTGCTGAACTCGTCTCGCTGTGAAAAAGTGGAAGCAGGCACCAACAAAGTCGAAGTCGTTTCTACACCGAGGCTGCTGCGTATGTCCATGCGTGCACAGAAGTTGGCAACATTACTTGTCCGGGCGAAAATACATGAATGGACTCCCCCCGCCAGACAGTTGCCCACACAATAGGGTGGGGGTACGCACGCAGGCGCTGTGTAAATTTCCGGGAGTTTTGTTGTTAGGCACACGCACACCTGTTGTTACCACGCTGCTGTTTCATTTACTTGCCTGTATCCTAGGGTACCGATCGCTCCCATTCTCACGAGATGTTCTTACCTTGTCCCTTAAAATGAACCTTGTCTCTTGGCCATCTGCTCTCATTTTCACGAAATTCTGAGCCGTCTTTGTTGACAGATTCGGCCCCGTAGTGGCGGGCGCGCCAACGAAGACCGTCCCTCGTAAAGTGTTGTTCACCATTGTTTTCTTGCGGACGTGGACGACAAAATATATCTGCCCTCAGTCATTCTGTGTCGGACAGTCTTCGACCACACTGCAAACCCGGCGTGCGTCATCTTGCGCACGTGGACAACAACTTGTGTGGCGCTTGGGGTTCTTTGGCGGTATCGGCCATCGATCCCCACAATCCATCTTGCCGCTGGTCAACGAGCTGTCTTGCCCGTTCAGACGCCATGTCATCGAGATCGGGCAAGGCTTTTTGATCGCTCGTGGAGAGCGTGTGCGACGAGACAAGCCATGGCACAAGCAAAACCCGGCATGCTTCGCGTGAAAAAGTAGTCTCCTTTATTCTGGACACTCGTGTCGTGTCTCTAACTCGTCTACTGCAACCACTTGAGGCTCAAGACACCGACCCTCAGGTGTTCTCCAAACTTCTAGACAGGTGGTATGATATGCGCCTCGAAAATCACACACCTATGCATACCAAACAATCAGAAGACCGCATCATCGATCGACGTCTACCTCGCCCGACATGCAAACGCACTCCAGGGGAAACGTGTTGCAAGCATCAGGCGGCCAGCTCAATCGCTACCACCATCAAGAGCGAGCGAGCGAGCGAGCGAGCGAGTAGCGGCGCAAATCAGCTTGGAAACGCTTCTTCCGCACAGCACATTCATGCTCCAAAACTTTCCCAACAACACATCATACACGACACACCTGGCGCGCACGTACTCTTTTAAAAGCTGTCACATCTACCTCGCACGCTTGGCGTGAAAAAAAAACATGATACACACGCGACCGCCGGTTATAGCCTGATGGTACCATAGGCCTTATCCTTCGTGAACGCAGTCTTTTCACCATGACGTCAAAATATATGGCTCTAAACAGCTCCATAGAGCGGGAAACTACTACAACTGCAACTGCCTTAGGCTTGTGGAGTACACGGGCGGTCAAATCAATCCGAACAAAAGTCAAAAAATGCCCCCCGACCTTCCCCTACGCCACCACAACACCAACAAAAAACGGCCGACACCCACCCACGCGAGCAACAACCACAGCCCCACGACAGGCCCAACCAAAGGTGATGGGTGATATTATGCCCAAGCGCGCATCGCTCCGGCAAGCGCGCCGACCGAAAAGGCACCTCCAATAGCGGAGCACGAGTATATACAAAAAAATGGGGGTGGGGGGGGGGGGGGGGAATCTGAAGACAGAATGAACGGCCGTTGGGCGAAAGCGAGTGGGGCCAAAACATCACGGATCGACACCTACGCCGTCCAGAAACACAACAAGTTAAACAAGTTCGGCGGAAAATACAGGGATCGTGTCTCCTCGCGACCGGCTCTACGACCTATTATTCTGCACACCCGTCGTGGCCACAGGAGGAAACAACAGACGAGGCCGTGCCTAGAAACTGCAACCCAACACACGTTCTCATGGTCGCGGGTCGTGCTGCAAACGCTGTTCTCCGGCACGGCAATGTTCCCTGACCGAGCCCTATGTTCATGCGTACAAGACCTACAAAAAATGCACAACAAGAAACAAAAAAATACAACGCACCCGCAAGAAATACATATGGTACCAACGCACAGGGAACACATGCATTGCATCAACGTGTATCCAGAGCGGGCACAACGCCTCTGGACACCACCAATCTGCAAGTAGTAACCGTTGCCGGGCAACGATGCACAACAATTTACACCTCTGCCGCCGCTTTTCCAGGGAGAAAACGCACAACGCCGAAGTAGGAAATGAGTGTCCCCACCCCCTCTTGTCTCTAAAAGCCCTTGGGACAACGAACCCCCCACACGACCGCCCCTCCTCCCCCCCTCAACACCTTTACACTCGGGACACGTCATATTGAGCCTACACCACGCATGGCGCGCTGCAAAAATGTACACTTTGCTAACCCCCGCCACAAGTTGTTCCGCTTTCTCTCGCGCGCCTAAGTGAGACAGACCCTCTACATGCTGCGCTTATATCGCTCGTCAGGGTTGACTCTCATGCTTACGACCGTCAGCCAGCAGTCGATGTCGGTCTCCTTTCACGGCGTGCGCGTACCGTCGCCCACCCAAGACAAGTCATATCTCAAGGCAAAGTCATACTTACCGAGGATAAGACTCAAAGTTACTCTTAACGCTTCAAATATTATCTTTCAATTCAAGATAATATTTCAAGGTGTGTGGGCTTCGTGGCCGCGATGTTTAAGCCAAGAATCCTACTTTTTTTGTAATATTCCAATGCATGCAACAAAAATAAACAGAACGACCGATTACACAAATGTCAGACGTGAAACCGCGCCGCAAATACAACTTATATTCTCTGCACCGAAGGCTTCTTTCAGTAGCCCCGCCCGATAGCCTGATACTTGATAGATACGCCCTGTTTTCCCTCCAGGTCGCGGCTTGATCAATCTACAAACCAAGCCGTGTGTAACTTAAAAGAAGATATGAATAGGAAAACTACATCCCAGAGCCTCTCATCGATACGAAGAATCACCAAAACAGTGTCAAAAAATGAACCGGGAGGTTTACGCTAGTGTCGCTCTCGTCTCGATATCTCAACCAGCATTCATTCCTCCTTTGTACTATATTAAGTATGTGGCAACAGATTACCGACCTTCCCCCCCCCCCACACGCATACAGAAACTCTACTGCCGACCGAGCGAACGCAAACGCTGCCTTGTTCGGTGGGTGCCTCGTGGTTCAGCGCTTCGCCGATGCCACGGTGTGGCCAACAAGACGAGCACACACCGCCGTAGACACGTAACACTCCTTTCCACCTTACAACAGCTGGCGCTATTTTAAGCAGTCAGCCGGCTGGGCAGGGCAGTAGAATATCCACACATCCTTACACAAAATACCGCGCGCCTCCTCTCGTTTATCGCCCGGCAACGACAAAAATACAATCTTGTGAAAACAAAAATTTACGTGCTGCTGCTCGTGCCGGGGCTGGTGCTGCGGTGAAACCACGGATGAGAAAGGATGGACTTAATGTCGGAGAGGCGCTCCTCTGGGTCGGCCGTGAGCATGGCCTGGCAGGAATGACACACGAGACAATGAACGCGCGGTTGTGCAGGAGTGGGGGGGGGGGAGCGTGCACGAACGGCGGGGTGAGAACATGAAACGTAGACAACGGCAACCACATGGAGCTCTGAGCCGTGTGTGTCCCGTCGTGTTCCCCTATTCAATCCTCGGCGAGATCGGTGTCGGTGGACGGGCACTCGTAGTGTCCTCTGCTGAATCCTACCGACCCCCTTCCGCTTGCCCTATTCAACTTGTGTAACTGCTTACGTTTATATGCCTCCGTCTACCAAAGTTCCAGCTCTCTCCTCGTTTTATCCCCGAAAAAAAAAAAAAACACAACGGTGTTTGAAAATATTGAACCCCCCTCCTTACCTGCAAGAGATCGACGGCCTCGTCCGAGATGGCGTCGCGGAGCTTCCAGCCCTGTAGCACCACGTCCAGATTCTTGCCCTCGGCTATCGCCTGGAACTTGAAGTCCCCGACCTCCTCCCAAGGCTGCACGCCCAGAAGCGCCATGAACAGGGTCGTTCCGACAGACCACGTGTCGATAGCGTGGCCGTCAAAAGCCTGTTTGGCACCCCAAGTTGGCGAGGGAAGCAATGTTTTAGGTAGCCCGGTACAGCAGCAATGTGGTATTGGAGAGAAACGGGGATCGGCCAGACAAGGACAGCAACCTTGCGCTACGAAGGTGCGCTTCATGTCGTCATGAATTGCCGACCTTCAAATATATGTATGCGTATGTGTACAGGCGCAACCATGTCCACAATTATTTGTTCGTTCATGCCGGACTCACTGACCTGGTCGTAAAACACTTCGGGTGCCACACACGTGCTTTTGCCACATCTGCCCTGAGGAGTCAACGGCGCTCTGTTCCCTGCAGGATAGGGTGCAAGAGTGTCGTTCGTTTTTCGACGAGGAGCGACGAGGGGCGGGGGGGGGCATTGAGCGCTAAAAGCATACAACAAATCGTTTTCAACGATATCATCATGTAGTAAGGGTAC